TTGTAAATTGGCTAAAATGTCCGCTCTTCCTTTTAATAAAAGTAATTCTATTTCTTCTTCTCCTTTTTACTTAGTTCACACTGATGTCTGAGGACCTTCCCCTATCATTACAAAAGGGGGTTCCACATATTATGTGTCTTTTATTGATACAACAAGTTTACATGGGTATATTTGATGACACGCAAATCTACTTTTTACAAAATATATTTCAACTCTCACTCCATGATTCGCACTTAGTTTTCTACCACCATTAAAATTCTTCGTTCTGATTTGGGGGGTGAGTATTATTTTTCTGAGTTTACCAAGTTTCTAGCTGCTAATGGTACTATTCATCAGTCCTCCTGCTCTGACACTGCTGCTCAAAATGGTCGTGCTGAACGCAAACATTGACATCTCCTTGATACAGCTCGCTCACTGTTGCTTTCGTTTTCTGTTCCCTCTGTGTTTTGGGGAGAAACTGTGCTCACTGCTGCATATCTTCTTAATCGGATACCTAATCCTCTTCTCTCAGGTTCATCTCCGTATGAGCGTCTTCTTGGTACTATTTCTAATTACTCCCTTCTTTGTGTTTTTGGTTGTGCATGTTTTGTTCTCCTTCCCAAACAGGAACGCTCTAAGCTTAGTTCTCATTGTGTCCTGTGCGTGCTTTTAGGGTATGGTATTAATCAGAAAAATTATCGGTGTTATGATCCTGTCACCAAAAAGTTATATGTTTCTAGGCATGTCACATTTTTAGAAAAACTACCCTATTACACTATCTCTTCCCCACATGTCCCCATTGCCAAGGATGAATTGATTCATATTGATCCATTTCCTTCTGTTGTTCCTCCCGACACATTTGTTTCTGATCTTGAGGTGTCTACTTTGTCTCCTACTAGTACTCCTGACCCCTCCCCAACTCTTATTGCCCCTGCTCCTCTTCTTGTTTACAAGCGTCGCAAAGCACTTTCGAGCCCACCTGTTGCTAGTTCTACCGCCTCTTCCACTGGCTCTATGGATCTCATTCCTCTTGCACATTGCTTTCCCAAGTGAGCTCGACATCCTCCAATACCTGTTTCTCCTCTTCGTATCAATCTTTTCTTTCTTGTCTTCATACTTACTTTGAGCCCAGGTCCTACAAGGAAGCCTATTATGATCCGCATTGGATTGCTACTATGAATGATGAGTTAACTGCTTTAGCTAAGACTCAGACTTGGGATTTGGTTTAGTTACCTGCTAACAAGAATATTGTGGGATGTAAATGGGTTTACAAGGTCAAAACTCTTTCTGATGGTTCTTTGGAACGGTATAAAGCTCGTTTGGTTGCTCAGGATTTTTCTCTTGAATATGGCATTGATTACGAGACTTTTGCCCTCGTTGCCAAGATGACTACTGTTCGCACTCTTATTTCTGTTGCTGCTGCCCATCAATGGACTTTGTTTCAGTTAGATGTTAAGAACGTTTTTCTTAATGGGCATCTTGCTGAAGAAGTTTATATGCGTCCTCCCCTTGGCCTCTCTCATCCTTCCGGTGTCGTTTGTCGTCTTCACCGTGCTCTCTGTGGTCTCAAGCAGCCTCCTCGTGCTTGGTATGAGCGCTTTCACTCTGTTGCCCTTCAGCTTGGATTTCGTCCCAATCTTCATGATTATGCTCTATTTGTTCATCATACTTCTGCTAGCCTTGTTCTTCTTCTCTTGTATGTGGATGATATGATCATCACTGGCTCTAATCCTAGCACTATTCAGGTGGCTAAGCATGAGTTGTTTCAAGAGTTTGAAATGAAGGATTTGGGGTCTTTTCTTAGTATTGAGGTTGCTACTTCTCCTACTGGGTATCTTTTGTCTCAGACTAAGTATGCCCATGATATCCTTTCTCGTGCCAATCTCATTGATGACAAAACGGTCGACACTCCTATTGAGTTGCATGCCAAGTTTTCTCCATCTGATGGAGTTCCTCTTGAGGATCCTACTATGTATCGTTGAGTTGGTTGGGTGTCTTGTTTATCTCACTGTTACTCGTCCTGACATTTCTTATGCTGTGCACATACTCAGTCAGTGTGTTTCTGCTCCTCGTTCCACTCATTGGGCTGCCTTGCTCCATACCCTTCGCTACCTTCGTGGTCTTTGTTACAGTGTCTCTTGTTGTCTTCCTCTTCAAACTTGGTTCTTCGTGCCTATGTTGATGCTGATTGGGCTGGTGACAACCCCGATCGCAAATCTACTTCTGGCCTTTGTCTTTCTAGGTGATTCTCTTATCTCTTGGAAAAGTAAGAAACAGTCTGTTATTGCTCGCTCCACTACTTAGGCCGAATACTGTGCTATGGCTCATGCTAGTTCTGAGATAGTTTGGCTTCGTTGGCTTCTTTCTGATATGGGTGTTTCTATCTCTTCCCCTACTCCAATGTATTGTGATAATTAGAGTGCTGTACAGATTGTCCATAATTCCGTTATTCATGAGCTTACAAAGCATATTGAGATAGATTGTCACTTTATTCGCCAGCATCTTCAGGCTGACACTATTACTCTCCCTTTTGTTCCCTCCTCTCTTCAGTTGGCCGATTTTTTTTTACAAAGACTCACACTGCTGCTCGTTTTCGTTTTCTTCTTGGCAAACTTTCGATACTTTCTGCACTCGCATCCACAGTTTGAGGGGGGGTGTGAATATGTATTTTATATTTCTGTTATGCTCTGTCTCTCTTAGGGTAGTTTAGTCTTTCTCTTGTAATTAGGATATTAGGGTTTAGTTTAGTATGTATATTGTGTTCAGCCCTTTTGATTAATTATTCGATGTAGAGATTATTATGTTTGTTATCAGAGACAGCTCAGCAGAATAATTTTTTTTATTATTATTTTTTATCAAAGATCAGTTTTGAAATCAAAATTGCAACTCGATGTAAAACAAAGTCAAGTTTTCAGAAATCAAAGTCGAACTTGATGCAAAGTCGAAAGTCGAAGTGGAAAGATCAAAGCCAAAAGTTGAAGATAAACTAGAAGTCAGAAACCAAACTTGAACTTGTTACGAAGTCAAAAGAATCCAAGCTGAAAGTCGAACAACAAACAACTATCGAAGTCGAAGTTCAATGGAGGAATGATAATCGAAATCAACACTCAATTGATAACTATTTGTGGAAATCGTTAACTAATTGATTAAGTTCTAAGTAAGTTCTAAGTGAACACTTCATCCTTGTTGATGACTTCATATTCAGATGAACAACAACACACGAGCTACTCAAAGCTTCGGACCTCACTCAGAGGTACACGCGACCTGAATTCGAGGTAGGCAGCACAAAATCCAGGTGCAAATTAGGGCAAACAATTGTCACACACCAAATTTTGGTTCTTTGCAATCAAATTCTGGTTTAACTCCAAGTGAATCACTCATAAATCATGTAATTGGAACAATGAAACATGAAACCCAATTTTGGTTCCTCACAATCAGATTCCAGTTCAACTCCAAATGAATCACTCGTACAACATGCAATTGGAACAATGAAACATGAAGGAAGGATCTGAGCCAGAAGCATTGAAACCAAACTTGATGCAACCAAATCTAGAGGGGAAATGTATAGAGAGATAAATACCCAAATCTAGGGTACAAGAGAAAAGCTCTAACGTTTACAATCTCAAAAAAATAAAAAAAAATTAGATATTGAAAGCCTAACCACCTATTTCTAGACACATGCTAGCTCATACAACAATAGAACTAACAACAACTAACTTTAGAATACACTACAAACTACACCACCCAATGAGTTAGACCTTTTTTAAAAAGAACTTTAAAATTGAACACGCTTTGAAGACTTGGGGAACACATGTTTCCATCAGTTAAACACACATAAAGACATCCCATGCTTAAAGAAAGTACATCCGTAGCCAAAGAAAATTAAAACAATGCATATTTATACCAATTAATCCCTCATCCTTTAAGTTTTTTAGTTTTATTTAAGGAACACTAAAATCTAAACCTTTTAATTTGTTTTTAGAATAAAGCCTTTTAAAATGGATATTAGTAGAATATCCATTAAGAAAATTGATTTTTTATTATTTTGATACAGTAGAATATAAATAATTTTTAATGTAAAAAATAAACAAGCTATTATTTTCATGTTTATGTATAGATGTATACATCTATAAAAGATATTTAATTCTTGTTGTGTCCATTCCATGTCCGTGTGGTTTTATTGTGAAAATCACCAAATCAACATATTTGTATTGTGTCGTATCAGTGTCCTGTTGTTCAAATAATGCTAAGTGTAATCAATTCACCCTCCCAGCAATCCATACTTGAAGGACCAACTAGGTAATGCCTTTACCTATGTATGCATGTGTTGTGTGCAAAGAAAATGCAATTTTCTGAACCATGGTGAATTTTAGATGTCATTTCATTCTACAACTGGATTAAGCTTACTTGCCCAACTAGGTAATGCCTTTATCTATGCATGCATTTGCAGTTTACAAAGTGTATGCAACTTTCTAAAGCATGGTTAATTTCAGATGTCCTTTCATTCTAAAACTTCATTAAGCCTGCTTGCAAGATGGGCATGACATTTATTATCAAGAGAAGAGGTGAACTTTCCGTAACAACCTTTTTTCCACAATTAATTGATTGCCCTCTTTATTCTAAAATCCTAAATCAAACTTATCGAGTTAGTCCCAAACTCCCATATTTCAATCATAAGCCTAAATTACTTCATCAGGCTGTGAAGCATTCCATAATTTTCCACATACCCAAAATTTGAATTTGTCCACATAATTTTTCACACATTAATGGTTAGACACTCCCTTATAGCTCATGAAGAACCATGACTTGACATGGAAATCCAGTAAATAAAAGCTCATTTTCCATGATACATTAATCAAAACTCCCTGCATGCTAAAAGAAATAATAATCTAACAAAATCAGCAATCCAAAAACCTGACATTTATTATATATGCAAAATTAATTCCCACAAATATTCTGTGACAAATGTTCCTTATATATAAAAGAAATAATTTTAAAGGCCTAGCATATACTTAACATACCTTCATGTAGGACTTCACACAGGGAAGTGAATCTGGAACTGACCAGTTTTTATAATGCCCCAGTGAAATCTCTAAATGATACAGCTTTGGTCCAAGGGACAAGTCCGCAGCAGATACTCTTTTCCCATCCACAAAAGGTCCCTTCAACCAACAAAAGAGATTTAGAACATAAATATGTTAAGAGCAATTATTTTCTATATTTCTTTGTAGAAAATATATAATCCATTCCATTCAAAGTCCCCAATTTCTCCATGCATGTCACTACAAAAGTGATGATATTACAGACAGGCCATCACATTCACATCAACAAGCTTCATGTTCAAACAGATGGCACAAGATCCAAAATAGCTGAAATTGAAAAGCCCAAACATACCACAACCTTAGGTGCTATTTTAAATATATGGGGACAGACAGGTTTCAAGATGCCTAGGCTTCATCATTTCAAAGCCAAAATTATTTCCAGACCACAAGATCAATAACTTTCCTCACCTTAACAACAAAGTAAAAAGGAAACACAACAACAACAACGTAATAATAATAATAAACCAGTATAATGCTGGTGATGGTGTGATAAGACACAGGGCTCACATTTTCTTTGAGATAATCATTGAAAGCAACCAGCTCACTGAGTAATGCTTGCTCGGTTCCATCATTGGGGTCTTTGCTTTTAAGGAAACCAATGAAGGTGGAGAAGATCTTTGATCCACTACAAGAGGAGAGTACAGAATATGAGAATAATTGTTGTTCTACTACACCACAATCTGTTATTCTGAAACAACTGAGAACTGTGAATAGACATTTAAAAAAATGTCTTATACTAGTAGAAAGGAACAGAATTAATCAATGATTTTTGACGACTAGGACAGCCACATTATACTAAATGTCACAAATTTGCAAAATTGACGACTAGGACAGCCACATTATACTAAGGCCTCGTTTGGGAACAGGCTATTTTAGTAATTTTTTGGCTTTTTATGAAAAGATATGCAGAAAAGTAGAGAGGTGATGTGACAACTTTTAGTAACTTTTTGACTTTTTGACTAAAATAGCCGCTCTCCAAACGAGGCCTAAATGTTGATTTATATTTTGTAACTAAGATTATGAACGTCCAAAGAACATACAGAAAGAAAAAAAAAAAAAGTTGAAAACTAATCTTCTGCATTCTGTAGAATAATCCAAAAATCTTCTTTCTACATTAGGTGTTGTTTGGCACAATCTATTTTAGCAAATCTTTTTATCTTATTTGGGTCACATCACCTCTCTACCACTTTGCGCATCTTTTCGTAAAAAGTCAAAAAGTCTACATATTTAGATCATCCCCAAACAACCCATAAGTTGCCTTCCCACATTATTGCTGAGGTAAGCCCTTGCACTGATCCACACCTTATTTGTTTTATCTATTTTAACAAAACAGGAGAAAATAAAAAAGAAAGAAAAACTAGTTTGTTTTCTCCTTCCTCACCTCACTCTACACTATTGAATGCACTGATTGAAGGGGACCACCAGTAAGCAAATGTTAAAAAATATCTACGACTTGCAAATTATGACAGTGAAATGTTCGATTAAGCATCACCCAAATGTATATTAATATAGGATCTAAATTAAAAGACATGTACAACAAAACTCTACGAAGACGTAATTTCCTGCCAGCTGAATATGTGAGCAAACCGTAGGGTTGCTCCAAATTTCAATCTCCTGTGTACCATTGTTAGAAATTTCCATTTTCTTTTTTATGTCTTACTCACTTAAAATTTGGATATTCTTTCAACTGAACTGAAAGCTATTTATGTAGTGTTAAATATGTTGGATAGCATGACATACATTGTTAAGCCTATTTCCTATGAGCTTAATCAACTTAAGGTTTTGGAACAATTGGTGACTTACACGGTATCAGAGCTCATGTTGAGCAGGTCTTGGGTTCAAGTGCCTCCATTGGCATGCGTTCCCCATCTTTATTATGCTTCTTTCTAGTCTCTATGTATGTCTCTTTGCTATTGAAGCATGTATAAAGATAGAGTCCTTCATCGAATAACGAATAAAAGGAGTGGATCTTAATATATATTGAATGGCCTCTCCACTTACAAGCTTAAACTTTTAAGTGGGTATAAGTTCGAAACAATATATGTTGGGCCCTAGTGCCACACATGTGGACTCTGAAATTTCTCCCTAATGGATTGGGTCGGTATTGCTGCACACCTGTGGATTCCCTGATTCCCTAAAAACTGGTATAAGAGCCCATGGTAGGCGTTTCCCCGTGGCACCATCTTTAATCTAAAATGTTATCAAATCTATAAAGTGTACTGATAGGCAGCTTAATTATTGCACATTAATGACCAAATGCAAAACAACCATGTTGGGTTGGGATGCAAATGAGAATCAATAACAATATTCCTTTTTGAATGCCAACATATTTTGTGTTGGAACATCAAGACTAGTGCAGTCAACCATAGGCATCCTTCATGCCTACTATACGGTTTCATCCCAATATTCACTGGGACTGCCTTTTATTTCCTTTGGGCACAAAAGTGGTTAAAATTAGAGCAGGATTATTATTATTATTATTATTATCTAAAAAACAAATCAATTTAGAATCAAACTCACAACATCAACTCACCCTTAACACAATTTCCGTCCAAGCCACCATTGTACTACATGGCTGGATAGCTTGAAATATCATTGGATAAATCAGAGATGGAAAAAGGAATTACAATTTCCAACTAGATCCAACTATTTGGGATGTCTAACAAGCTGAGGTTGTTAGCCATACCTATAGATAAATTGATAGCCATGTCAACAAGTTGCAACAAAAGTGCTATATGAAACGTACGAACTTTCAATGAAACATTTGAAGCTCTTAATATATGATTTAACATGACAATGAAATTTCTGCGGGGTCAAATAATTGTAAATTTGAAACAGCCATCTGTTTCAGAGCATTTGTAGATCAGCAACTTTCAAAATTATAAAGCAAACCAACAAATAAATTGAAACCTATGAAGCACCAACACTTCAAAACAAGTGTTGTATCCGTGTCGGACACTTCGGGGACACGCGGATACTTTGGGGACACTTATGGGACACACCACATGGCGTGTCCCCTTATAAGTAATTTATTTTCAAGGGACACGCCGGAGACACTTCGGGGACACACTAGGAACATGCCAAATTGTCTTTTCTCCCATTTTATTTAGTGCTTTTGATAAATATTGAATGTTTATTATTTTTTTTCTTAAATTTAAATACTTAATAGATCATCCATAAAAAAATATATAAACTGTAAGTATTAATTTAAAAGTGCTTTTAAAAAAAAATAAAATTAGAGTTAGTTTTTCTTAATGTTAATTGTTTGTGAATGTAATATTAACCTAGATAATAAAAATATATGAAAATATATTTTATTGTCGTGTCCCCGCCATGTCCGTTTCCCCATTCTTTCGAAATCGCCGTGTCCTGTGTCCACATCCGTGTCCTTGTCTATATCCGTGCTTCTTAGATTGAAACTTTTAAGCCTACTACTTGGCAATATCAATCAGAAAATCTCATGCCATATAATTATTTCGCAGTGAGCACCATTCTATGACGAAACATGCTCCACTAAACATTTAACATACACTGAAGCTTTCTCAGGTGGTGTTCCCAACGGTGGATTAGGGAATTTTTCTTCTAGTGCTTGGGTGATGACATCTGAATCAGCAATCCACTTCTCATCAATCTTTATCACTGGAACTTTACCCTCAGGACTTACTTTTAAGAACCTAGAACCAGGAAATGACAAAGTCAGTGTATGATTAAAAATGTGGTATTTACTTTTTTTTCTTCTTCTTCTTTTTTATTTTTATTTTTATTTTTTGATACATTATATATGTGAAACAAATTTGAACCCAAAGATATAAATATGTATATATATATGAAACAGATATATTAAAACTATTTGACTTAAAAAAGGATGACTAATTTATTACCATTCTGGCTTTTTAGAAAAATCAACCAACTTCAAGTCATATGGGAGATGCTTCTCCTCCAGTGTCAGCAAAACCCTTTGCGTGAAGGGGCCTAAATACATAACGTTAAAGATAAGCAGCAAACAAGTAAGAAATTATAACTGCCTTAGACTCAAGACTAGCACATAAACTAATATATTACATTAAAACTTCTACATAAATAATTAAAGTTTTTCATTGCTCAAGAAGCTTCCATCAGTTATCAAAAGCAATTCTGGAGTTGAAAGAATTGGCCCTTTTTTTCGTAACTAGCACTGTGTACTTAACACCGGAATGAGGTATTGAGGATACATAAGTTTTGAAAAGCATGGATATAAGTTTTTAAAACAAAAATAACACAAGAGTTTTCATTATAACAAAACCCTAACCTATATTCCTATAGGAAAGTAAAATGTACTTGAAATTATAACAGACAAAATATTTTTATTTTTAAAACTTTGCAAAAAGGTTTGAAAACAACTTCTTCTTTCAATTTCTTCCATCTTTTTTCTCAATCTTTTTCCACCCTTGTAGATACCCTACAGCCACATTGTGAGGGAAATATGCTGGTAATCTGCCCCTCTCCCTCTTTACCCTGAATTCTACATATGTAGAATTTTAATATTTTGAAAAATTATTTGGTGCTTCTGGGGCGGCACCACGTCACCATACATCATGCCCCGTGTTGTTTCCAATTACTAAACACAAAATAGTCAGTCTCACCTTCTCCACCAATCACAACGCCTAGGCACCACAAGGCCATGCCCAGAACCACCAAATAACTTGTCCTAAATTTTATTCTAATTTACCTTGCTGACATGAGTGTTCTCAAACTGTCATAAAAATGTTAACACAAATTCATGCACTACCTATATAAATAAATAAACAAAGCAGACCAATAGAGGTCCAAATTCTTAACACTAGAAAGACAAAGCCTAGAAATTAATTAACCTATTAGAACTCCGTTTGTTTCCTGAGAAAATGTAGGTAAAGAAAAAGAAAAGAAAGTGTTCGGCAAAGGCAAAGCACAAAGCCGAACAGTTAGAATTAGGTCGGCAGGTTGCAGGTTTACGTATTCGTTAGTCCCAATCCCAAATTAGTAATAAACTTTCCTCTTTAATTTTCGGAGAAACCAAACAGAAAATTGAGGGACTTACAGTCACCGAGCCTGTTGGGGGTAGTGAGAGAGGCTTTGACGCAGACTTCGAGAGGGTCGGAGACAGAGGAAGAAGACACAGTGAGGCTCCTCCTGATTCTGAGTGCATGTGTAGTGCGCCTCGAATGGGCCAAACCGTTGGGGGGAAAGGTGCAGGTGCGAGAAAATTGGAGGGTGCCGGTGAGGTGTTTGATAGTTGTAGATAGTGCGGAAGCCGATGGATGAATTTTTGCGGTCGACATTTTGCCTTGCTGCTGCTGCTGTCTCTGGAAGGAACTCTGTGGAACTGAAATTCTTTTCTTCCCACGGATTGCTTGCTTGCTTGCTTCTGCCGTCGATGAATGGACACGTCACATCACACGTCACTAGATGAAATGAAGGTGAAATTCAGGATAAAAATAATACACCAAAAAAATTTCACCAAAAAATTTGTCAAATATCTGAAATAGTGTGAGATCATATGGTGTGAGATTGTGCAAGTCTAGTCCAAATCCAAATAACACATTTGATAAAATTTTTAATATTACGCAGGACATGCTTTCGGTTTCGACAATGAAAAATGATAGGACCCAATAAATTTTTACTAACGATCCAACTTCTCTACAGTTGAACATTACGATTAGATTGTCTATACTATGGATTTTTTTTTATATTATATTTTAATAATTGAAGTTGTTCATATTTTAAAATTTATTAACTATATTATTTATACAAAAAATTAAGTCAATTAAATAATAAAAATCACGTGTTCGAATTAGTTTTATATGAATCGTTTATTTTCTTACCATCTATTTTTTTAAACAAAATTGATTTGAACACTTGGTTGTTGCTATTTGATCGACTTGTTTTTTATATGGATAATATATTCGACAAATTCTAAAATAAAAATAATTCGGATTATTGAAGTACAACCCAAAAGTAGGCCCACAATACGGACTAGACGGATCTAGTCTTAATCTCTAATTGGACACAAGCTGGACCGTTTTACTAATATTTCAACCAAACGTCTCACATAGCCACATCTATCTATGTGAGACATTTTATAAAAAAATTGGTAAATCTCTTAAATTTCGTTTGGTTTAGTTTTTGAATTGTATTTTGAAAAATAAGTTGTTGAAAAAAATTTTAAAAATTGAAAGTTCGTTTGTTATGAGTTTTGAAAATAAATTTGGGATGAATTATATATATATATATATATTGCAGTTGAATAAATGGGTGTGAGAAAAAATTCAATTGATTAATGTATAGAATGTCAGAGATTGAGAGAGAAAAGAAAAAGGAAAAAAAAAGTGATTGATTGATTTATTAATATAAAGAAAAATGTTTGGTAGCTCGAATTGTGCTACCTTGAATGGCTCAAATAACTATTCACCGAACAACCGGTCGAACGACTACCCAGACGATCGGGGTGAAACACTTGTCTACCGCGATTATTACCTTGTCGACTGCAACTGTCAACCTTTTCCTCAGATGACCAACTGATCGACCGGCAAAATGAAATTTGAGCCATTCAGGCCAAGCTCAAATTCGAGCTATGCCTTAGAGCTCTAATATATATATATATATATATATAGAGAGAGAGAGAGAGAGAGAGAAGGAAGGATAGAGAAGAGAGAAAAAAAACAACTTTGAAAATAGTTTTGAAAATTTGTTAACCAAACATGTATTTTGATTTTTGGGTAAATTACACTTATACCCTGTGAGGTTTGGATTTAATATATATTATCCCGTGACGTTTGAGAAATTACACTAACCCCCATGTCATTGTAATTATTTAGACGGAATGAAAATATTGAACTCATACACTCTCTTTTCTTACTTTGCATTACTTTCTCTATTTTTATTATTTTTTTTTATTTCATTTGTTTTACTTCTTTTTTTCAATGTAATTTCTTCTATTTTTCTACTAGAAGTTATTGCATTTTATATAAGTAGGGGGATATATGAAATGAAACTATTAATCACAAGGGTGGAAATGTAATTTTCAAAACATTAAGAGGTAGGATGTAATTGAATCAAACCTCAAGGAGTGTTAGTGTAATTTATCTTTGATTTTTTTTATCTAAATGTTAATTTAAAAACTAAATTAAACACTACCTTAGGTGTCGTTTGGGAACAAACTATTTTACTAACTTTATGATTTTTTACGAAAAAATATACAAAAAAGTAGAGAGAGCGATGTGACAACTTATAGTGACTTTTTGATTTTTTTTGGCTAAAATAATTACTCCCCAAACGAAGCCTTAGTTTCTTTAACGTTAATCTTTGACAATTGTTTAAATAGCTAAAAAACAATATAAAAAGTTAATTTTTTAATTTTTTTTTTATTTTTATGTATCTGTTTTTTAAAATGGCAAAAAAATATTAAAAAGTCTTGGACAAGTACATGTAGCATCCTAATTTAAATTTTATTGCTGAATACAATAGGATTTGATTTAGTATTTTTTATTATTGCTACACTACCTGATAATCACTCAGACGGGCGATTGAAATATTAGAAAAATATTATATAATGCTTCATTTTCACAAAAGGGTTTGGCTTTTCCAATTCAAAATTTAGATTATAAATGTCCGAGCGAATGGGACTTGTCACATGTCCCATTTTAATTATTTTAATTATTTACTTTATAATATATTTTTTATGTATTATTTATATATAAAATTAAATCAATTTGATAAATATGACCAATTTAATTTATCACACATATCTCCAAAAATATAAACGATAGGTGTGTTTATATATGTTATCAATAGAACAATAAATGTTGATAAATATATAACTTCTTGTGACATGTATATATATTTACACAAATTTATAAGGATAAATTATAAATACATCTCTTGAGATTTGTTTAAAATACTAAACACCTCGTGTAGTTCTAAAAGTTATATCTTACCCATTGAAATTTGGGAAATTTTTTTTAAGGTCCCTAATAATAGTAATTTAAAGGATAAAGGACACCAAAAAAAAAAGGGTGATGCATCAGGTCCCTGAACAATATGGCACACATTTTTAATTATTTCGTGGACCAAAATACCCTTCACAAATCAACACAAAAAACGAAACTGATTCCGACGATTGAGTTCCATTCCAAGCATCCAACCATCTTCACGAGCAAGAAAACAACAGAATTAGATTTCAATATCATCTTCACCATTGACATTAGAGCTTCATTATCTTCTGCAAAAATCATTCTCATTTCTTTCTCACAAATTTCTTTGACCTTGTTTTCACTGTTCATCATCATCTCAGTTCATCTTCGTCACATCGCATCTTCATCTCAGGACATATTAGTTCGTAATTAAAGTTTCATCCTAACTCTGGTAAGTTTTTCTACAATCCAACTAAATTTTCTCTGAAAACACAGTTAATTGCATTTTATATTAACCTTCCATAAATTAGGATTTCAATTTCGTAATAAAAAGTTACATGAATTTGAAAAAAGTTATTTCTCTGTGTTTTGAATTTATTCTTGAATATATTTGTGTGATTTTATCTGTAAATTTCTCTGGCATTTGAATTTCTCTTATTTTTGCTTGATGTATGTTTCTTCTTTGAATTTTCCTGGCATGTTTATTTTGAAAAAAGTTATTTCTCTGTATTTTGATCTTATTCTTGAATATGTTTCTGTGATTTTGTCTATAAATTTCTTTGCTTTGTAAATTTCCCTGGAATATGTATTTTCCTCTGGAATGTCTTTTACTCTCTTGTCTATATCTAAGTTTCTCTGACATTTATAATTTTCTCTAGCCACATCACTTTTCTCCCTTGTATGTCTCTATCATGTTTAATTTTCTCTAGTTGTGTATGTAAATTTCTCTGGCATTTTAATATTATGGACTTGAAATTTTCTCTGGAATGAAAATTTTCTCAAGAATGTGTAATTTTCTCTGAAATGTGTAATGTTCTCTGGTATGTTTATTTTGTTCAATTCTTGGTTTCAATGTTGTGTAATTTTTAGCGGCATGTTTACGTTGCTTTGTTTATTTTATCTTGCTAATTGTGGAATGGAAATTTTCTTTGACTTGCCATGTTTACTTTTCTTTGTCATTCATTTTCTGTGCTTACTAGATATATGTTTCTTTTTTGAATTTTCTCTGACATTTATAATTTTCCCTAGCCACCTTAGTTTTCTCCCTTATATGTAATTTTCTCTGACATGTTCAATTTTCTCTGAGATTTAATGTTGACATCTTTATGTTTTCATGATTGTCTAGAAATGGAAAAACGTAAAAGCAACAAAACACCGGAAACACCGAGCAAGAAATAGAAACTCTCTCAGTCTTCTTATGATCTAAGATAAAAAACTAGCAAGACACCACAAACTCCTTGCCAAAACACACTAGTCCAAGGTGATGAAGCAACTAGCATCAAGATGTATACCCCAACTTCAAAAGACTCAAGCTCAAGGGGGAAAAAATGTCACGACCCCAAACCGCCCCTAATAGGATGGTGCCGTGATGGCCAGTAATCCAAGATTACCGAAGGCCACTTACAAAATTCACACACAATCAGAGTATAAATATATGGGGCTCACAAGTGCGGAAGCAATATATACAAGTCTAATTAGTTTATAAGAGCCGTGCATAATTCAAATGGAATGGCATACAACTTTACATAGCTTTAAAACTTGAATACAACCAAAATAAATTACATAAATACATATTATATCTTGATAAAAGGCTTCTCAAGCCGACATGTTCAAAATACATGAAATACAACTAAGAAGCATAATCTTCAAGATTGCCGACATCCTCACTGCCGACATAACATACATGCATAACACACATCTCGGCGTAGCCAACTTCTTGCTTGTTACCTACATATATACATAGGGATGGTGAGCTTGGATACTCAGTGAATGATATAAATAATAAAGAGGTTTACATGAATGATATCCGAAGTCTTTACAAAACATATATATCATAGCTTGTACAAAACGTGGGATGAATCTAGTTCATCAACTTGATCTTTCAAAACTTACTTACTTACTTACTTTGGATGTTAATAGCATCTACATAATACAAGGAATGATGACATTCCGGGCAAAACAAAAACATAATCTCGGCATCGAGCACACCCGTTCATAGTCCGTCGGTGGCTGATATCTTAACAAGGGTGCTACTTAGGCTTAACGTCCCCTAGCACGAAAGGACGATGCTACCTAAGCTTAAAGTCTCCTAGCACGGAAGGACTCTCAAAACAAGATGTGCAGTTGTATTATAGTCCCCTAGCACTAAGGACTTTCAAAACAAGATGTGCAGTTGCATTATAGTCCCCTGACACTAAGGACTTTCAAAACAAGATGTGCAGTTGCATTATAGTCCCCTGGCACTAAGGACTTTCTGAGAATGTCATCAAAACAAAGCTTACTTGATACATAAAAATAGGGGTAATCATTCATGCTTGATCAAATGCTTTT